GCCTCAAGACCTGCTGGCTGCAGCTGGCCGACTTCCGCAAGGTGGGCGACCTGCTGAAGGAGAAGTACGACAGCGCCGCTGCCATGAGGATCAGCCGCAAGGGCAAGCTGGAGCTGGTGAACAACCGTTTCAACATGCCGACGCAAGAGGACCTGGTCTATGTCGACCCCAGCCCGGACTATTGCCTGCGCAATGAGACCACTGGCTCTCTGGGCACCCAGGGCCGACTGTGCAACAAGACCTCAGAGGGCATGGATGGGTGTGAGCTAATGTGCTGCGGACGGGGTTATGACCAGTTCAAGAGCGTCCAGGTGGAGCGTTGCCACTGCAAGTTCCATTGGTGCTGTTATGTCAAGTGTAAAAAGTGCACAGAGATCGTCGACCAGTACGTCTGTAAATGAAAGCCACCAAAGCAACAAATCTATATTATATAAATCTATATAAATATATTTTATATTTGTATAAATAAACAGATGATGATAATAATTAAAGAAGCTTATTTAAGAGACATTTTGGGTTTGAAATTTCCCCCATTAGGCCAGCTGGTTTGCCATTCCTTCAGTTCTGCTGGGGAGTTTGTCTTTGGGTGCATCTCCCCTTGGATGTTTCAGTCAGGGTGAAGAGGCTGAGGAGGTGCTGATGAAGTGAACTCCCCGCTGCACACAAGCACACACTATTTCATTACAGAAACGGAGCCAGCAAGAAGGGGAAGAGTGGATTCTTTCTGCTCCCTCATCGGTAAATCTCAGCATTTTGCATAGTTATTGCACATCTGAAATTACAATCAGGGGTGGGTGAGTCCTAGTTACCTGATTTTCAAACTCTGCCACCCCACTAAACCCACTGGGGAATGTGGAACCAATTCTTGATCCCTCTAAAGGGCTGTGTCATGTTAGAGGGGAAGTTAGCCAGGGCTCCTCTGCAAGAATATGGCTTAAAATCCAGAGTCCTGTAAACCATTCCTGGACGCTGCATAGACCACAATGTGGTGCAGGAAGGTTTACAACCTGCTGTTGTGAGGGAGGAAGGTGTGACCTGTGGCTGACCAGTGCACAGCCTGGGAGTCCCCGTGAAGCCGGCACTTAGCTTTTCTGTACCGCCTGGGCAAAGGAGAAATCTGTCCAGTGCAGGCTGCAGGGCTATGGGCATGAGGGAGACTTTTTTTTCCTCTTAAACCCATGCTAAAACTGAATTTGTCAATTGTCAACCAGAAGAAGCTGCTGGTGCAAAGGCAATATATTTCATATTTTGTCATTAGAAAGAAGGATTGCATGCACACACATGCACATGACTGCATAAGCACTCATACTGCTGCTGGTTTTCCTCTTTGAAGTGGATGCAGGTGGTCACCTTGTTCAGCTCTATTAAATCCTCCTCACCACCATCCCAGATGTATAGTTTCTCTTTAACATTAAACACCCCTCAATGACATTTCTTTCCCTCTGTTGCTTGTGTATATGTGTGGTTTTGTTTTATTCTTTTGGTGGGGTGTCTTATTTTGCTGCTCTGTATTTCAGAGTCCACGGGCTATGCTCTTCCCTGGCATAAGCTAACCACAGATACGTTTGCTCCCAGAATGTGGGTGTATATTCACCGATGGAAGTTTTTTCTATGTTTTTCCTTGGTAATAAAAGAGTATAATAAAATTGTACTAGGGCAGAAGGCATTACCAAAGTCTGCTCATCAGTCTTACCACGTTGGGATTTTAGTAGAATCCAATTCATAAAGCAGGGAACAAATGCTGTTTCTAGCACAAGACGTTTCCTGTGTCTCTCAGCATCTGCAGAGTTCATTTGCAGTCAGAACAATCAAGAGAAGCCAGTCGCCAAAATATAAGGGTTTGCTAATATACATCTCCTTTGTTACTGACATTCCAAGGGCAGTTTTTTTCCCTGTAAATTTTAAAATGTGCAAAATATGCCAATAAGCAAAGAGCCAGTCATGAAGATTATTATTTTTATATTAAACCTCTGTTTCTTATAAAGCATTGCAGTTTTACAGATTCCACCATTTCAACCACCAGAGAAGAATTTATATGTACCTTTCATACTTCAAATATTTGAGGACTCCAGAAAAGCACAAGGAAGAAAAATTATGTTTAATAATTAGGAGCTCTTGTTTTTTTAAACCAATGTGTCCAGGTTTTATTTTATTTTTTTTAATCCAACAGGCAATATATTTGCTGGCATCCCAGAATGCAGTTTCTTGGAATATAAACAGTGGCCTAGATTTATTTTATTATATAAAATCCAAAGCCAGTGGTATTGTAATTCAAAGTAACGGAAATAGTTTTCCATGCATGGAAAAAATGTGAGTGCAATGGCCTGATCCAAGTCCCATTAAACTTCAGTGGGAGCTGGACTGAGCCCAAGATCAGATCAAATGTGTGAGCTATTCACTCCTGGGATACTATATGTTTCTAGCCCAGCAATAAAACGTACTCTACCTTGGATACATCTAAAAAAGACCTTTCCTCCCACCACCATCACCTTATGTTCTTGTCCATCCTTACTGTATCAGTACTTAAAGGTGTCGGCTACTTGTATATGACACCCTCAGGCATTGTTAATGTGTCTAATAATTCAAAATTATTTCATTTGGCCTTTCAAAAAAAGACCACACATTTAAGAGAGTTGCAACTCTCCTTCCAGTTTGGCACCACCAATAATTTTGTGGGTGTAAACAACTTTGGGAGCAGAAAAGTTGGCGTTGTTAGGGCTACTATTCATCTGGGTGTCCCTGGGTATGTCCTTCTTTTTCCACCTAGAATGTTGCCTGGATGGAAAAAAGATGATTTTTGGCCTTTTGTCCCAGCACTGTGGACCTTTGGCAGCCTGGCTGGAGCCAGCAGTTCCTGTTGGACTGGGACCGTACAGCGATAGGAGAGAAGTGACCATTGGATTTCTTTCCTTCCTTGCCTGCCCCCACTCTCCCCCCGCCTTTTTTTTTTTTTTTACAAGACCTAGGTTTCAGTCTTCTTGACTTTCTGGGAGTTTTGTGTCCAAAAATTTGATCCTGCTAAACTCTAGCTTAAAACTTAATTTCTATGGCGCCCACACATAAAAGCACCTCCTTAGGGTGGTAGTAAGTATAAAATAAGAGCACAGCCGGTTTGGTTTGATGCAAAGCCAAAGAAAGTCAAACAGAAAGCTGTAGCAGAACTGCTTCTTTACCATGAAAATTAAAAAGTGGTGGATTTTAAATTGCGCCTTGTACGATGCACAAAGTGGTAGAGGGATGTGGGGGTGGGGAGCTAAGCTTGATTCTGAGCTCTGCCGATTATCTGCTTTGTAATCTTCAACAAGTTACTTGATCTTTGCATTTTAGCCTCCAGCCTCCTCCTGTATAAAAGGAGGAGCAGAATACCTCCTTGTTCTGTAAAGGTCTTTGAGAAATATGGCTGAAAAAAAAAACGTAATTGAAGGCCGACCCTCTACGCTCATTAACTCTGGCAGGCAGACAGCTGTATCCCCATTGTGCGGGGACACGCTCAATTCGGGACAAAGAGGCTCAGCGGCACCTCGGAAGGTCAGATGCTCAGAGGTGGTTGCAGGGGGGCTCAGCAGGAGCCTCGGAGAGTCTGTTGCAGCAAAGCCCTACTCTGGCACAACACTGAAGACCATTCTACAAAAGAGGTGAACTTGGGGCTTGTTTATTTATGGGTATTGAATGTCTTGTAGCAAGAGTAAGGCTTAGGGAAGTTAGCCTGGTTTCTGAATCAAATACCTGCCTGCTCAAATTCTGTTTGCAGTTCATATGGATAAGATATTCACACAATACACTTTTATATAGTGTGTGCTGGTAACCAGCTGCCACATTCCAACCCTGAAGTCACTGCACTTCAAGGCTGATAGAAATGACCACCCGTAAGTCATGTAAAACTAAAATATTTTGGAGTTAAAGGCACTATGCAAATACACGGTTATTGCAAGTCAGTGAACGTCAGCTCCTAAACGGAGCAGAACAGGATGCAAATCTGTCATCATTTTCCAACTGGCTAGTAATACATAAGTTATAACGTGAATGAATGAGGCCTTAGTATGTTCTGCTGCAAGGTAAGCTAAGCAGTAGCTGACCCCAGAACAAACAGAAACTTTCATTTTATATTAATTGTGGTAAAGAGATAGTGGCAGGGTTGTGAGAAAATTTAAATGAACCTTTTAATACTGCTGGACTCTAGGCCATTTGCATCGTTTGGAGGCTCCCATTCTTTGTCCCCAAAAGGTCTGTGCCTACCCAGAGCTCAATCTAACAGAGAGACTGCTGCCTTTTGCGATTCCAAAAATGGCAAAGCTGAACTCAGACACGCGATGTGAGTGTAACATATACTTTCTAGATGGACCCAAGTTTTGTAGCCCTGACAAAGCACAAATGAAGCAGATCTTTTTCAGTCATATAAAAAGCAAACATGCAAGGGTCTCACTCTGCTCTCTTGACCGTAGCCAGAGAGAAAGCCTAGTAGGTTTAAATTATGCTGTGGGAGCAATTCCTAATCACCGGTGGCTACAGAAATATAGACAGTATTTTCATCAGCTGACGCAGATACAGAAAATCCCAAGAAGATCTTGGGAAATACCTTCCAGCGACTAAAGGGCATTTCTCAAATGTCTGTCACAAGGTTTTCCAGAACCTACTGCTTCCATGGTCATTCACTTTCATTTAGCTTTTGTTTAACTACATTTCAGGTTAAACAGTTGCTAGAAGATACTCTATGAAATCAAGTTCACTGAATGTCAGGCTCTGAAGGAACTGTCATACGACAGCCGGTGAGCAGATATGAACGTAATATTGGATCCCCTTTTCCTCAGAGGTAGACTCTGGCTATAGCTAATCCATGTGACCCAGAGATGCATCCCATCTCCCTGGTCCAGATGTGTGTGCTGGCCATGTCCTGACTCCCTGCCAGGGCAGTGCAGGCACCAATACCTCATGTGCAAAGGTGGATGGATGCAGAGACCGTCAAGTGGGTGGCCTGTCCCAGCTCCAGCTCCAGTGTAGATAACTGGTGGCTTTGGGACTGGGCCATGGTGTGAGCATACCAGCTCTGAAGCCTAAATATAACCCGCCTCAAAGATAAGCAAAACAGATTTCCGTAGCCAACAGGACACATACCAGAAAGGACAAAAAGAATCATGATCAGCCGTTGTAAATCCTCAAATAACAACAATAAAAAAAACCCAGAATAATACAATGATCACAGCATGCTCATCATTCCGCCCATTGTCAATCTTCTCCTGCAGAGCCTGAAGCTGTTAATATACCCTCTTCTTTCTTAGCTTTGTTAAATGACAGTTGAAATCTGGGGTTTTTTGGGTATTAAGATTCAAAAAGGCATGACTTACTCACAGCATTTCCTTAAAGAGAGAAAGGGGGAACTAACAGTAGGGTCAAGAGTTTTCTCTGTGAGCAGGGATAAAATACAGCAACCATAAAACGGACACTCAAGCTAGACACTGCCCTAAGTGTCACAGTCACCTCTCCACGCTGCCCACCCAAAGCAAGCTGGGTCTGATGGCTCCGTGGAAACAGCAACACCTCTGGCTGCTTGGAAC